TGGGGGCCGATGGAGACGGCCCGGGGCTCTTGTGGATCATTTCAGCGTAAACATGGCGGGGCCCGGGGGCTCGCGCCCTTGCGAGAGCCTTGAGTGAAAACACGGCCGGGGAGGGGGAGGGGAGGGACGGGCGGATGCGCTCCCGTGCTCCCGTTTTCACTCACAGGCTTTCAGTTTTTTTCTCTGTTTAGGGGCGAGAGGGGGAAGGGCGAGCGTCTTATTTACTCGGTTGTTTTACAGTTACTATTGTATTTAAGCTCGCCCAATTTTTCACAGCATTGTCTCGCAAAAAGAGCAAAATCTTCTGAAGAAGATTGTGTGATAGGTGTTTATTTTGCGCGGACAGTTGAATCTCAACACGTTTTTGCATAAAACACGGGGATTTGCTTATTTGAGAACGTACTTGTTTCCCTTGTGCCCTATTTTCAGTCGTCCCTAACTCTGTTGTGAATAAGCGAAAGCTAATTAGAAGGCAGAGGTTTCACCAAAACCATAGCTTCTTCAGGAGGCTAAAAAGTTCTTTCAAGAGTTAACTATAGTAAATAGTAAATGTTTATGAATTTAAAAATAAGGGTAAGAAAAGCTCAAAATTGCCTGTATTATGTTGATATTTTTCTTGGTTAGTGGAAAGGTAGAAGGCCAGCCCAATGGTGACACAATCCCAGCTGAGCAAGCCAATCCTTCAGATGACACTGTTGCTGGTGCTGGGAGTCGTCAGAATGATCAGATAGTGCAGAAAATAGAGGAAGTGCTCTCTGGAGCCCTTGATACAGAGCTGCAGTGCAAATCAGGTAAATGAAAACACATTTGGCGAATATGTTCTTACTTAAGAAGGTTGTCATGGTTCTTAACACCTAATCGTTTTTACAGAGGTGAAAAAAGTACTTTTTAGTACTGCTTCTCTCACTCAGCTTCATCTGACAGGTTGTATGTTTATTGTAATGTTCATTAAGTATTTTTCTGTTTACTGTGATTTACAGCCATAGATTGACAAGGAAACGAGTAATCTAAAAATTGAAACTGGTTAATATACAAAAGTGTTACTTAGTGTTCAAAAAAGTTACTTTTCTTCTTACCTCTCTCAGTTACAATAATGCTAACACGTATACCCAATACTTGTAAATGTAGAAGTAGTTATTTGTTGGTACATCTAAAGAGTGTTTTGTGCTTCATTTTGTATATATCTGCTTCATGGTCTCAGTATGGAGTTGTTAATAACAAAGCTGGTGCTGACACAGGCAGAAGCTTTATTTGTAGTGAGATTTTGTTTTGGATTAGCTTGTATAAGATTATTTTAAAAATAATTTATTAGAATTCAGAATTGTATGATTAACTGTTGTGGCAGAGTAAGATGATCTGTGTGTGTCTTTCTGTTTTAATGAATAATGCCCATGCTTTTAAAATGTAGGTATTCAGACTAAAGTCTTTCAGAGGTCATGAAGTATACATGTAATAGTCTCGTAACATCAATAAATTAGCCAATTTATCATGCCAAAAATTTGCATATGAATATCCTTTCTCATGGGACTAGTCCCTTCTGTAAAATTCCGGAATCATTAGAGTCAGCAAGATGAAGACTCTAATGCATTTTTAATTTTTTGAAGTTCAGAATTAGGTGGCTGCTATGTACTTGGTGAGTATAGTTCCAGAGTGATTTTGTAAACAGCAGCATAGAAAACTGACAGGAATTGTTTAGTTCAAAGGCTATTTATGCAAGTTTTTGGGATTGCTTCTCCTTTCTTTCATGCACAGTGGCGTGTTTACTCTGAGCATTTTCAACAGTCTTCCTTCAGATATGTTGTATAAGCAGCACTTTAGGCTGGCCCCTAATTTATCTTGCGTTCTTCTCTCTTAGAAGAATGAGGCAAGTTAATATGACGGTAAGTAAGTGAGACATATTAGTGTGGTAGTAAATAAACTTTGCCTATGATCTCTATTGCCACTGTTTATATCTAGAAAAGGAGTTATGTTGTTAGAAAAAGTTAAGGATTATCTGAGAATGCTGTGTGTAGAAAAGGTCATTTGACTCGTTGTTCCCTTTTATAGCACTCAGGGGAATGTTGATGGAAACACTACTTTTTTTTTTTTTTTTAGATTGTTCGTTATGTAAAAACATGTGTGTATGTAAAACTACCTGAGATACACAAGTGTTTGAGATCTTAGTCATGTTCATGTAATGGTATTGCAGTTACCAACTTGTTTTGAAAGTGTGTTTTTTTTTTGGTGGTGTTTATTCGAACATTACACTTAATAATCACAGCCGGATTATAATCGGAGAAGCCACATGGCTTTGCTGGCCGGTATAAATGATTATGATGAGAACAGCATGCAGGCAGACTTGAACATAGAGTTCATATTTAGTCAAGATTTTAACACGTTACTATAATGGGAGTGCTTTTTCCATGAAAACATGGTACTGGATCCAAAGAAGGAGAAGAATTTAACACAGGATCAGTTTAAGGAGAATGGAGGTAGAGAATTTAAAAAAAAAAAAAAAAAAAAAAAGTGATCCAAACCTCAGTCTTCCTCTTCACACTCAGCAGTTGTCTATCTCTGCAGTCCCCTGAAATCATTGGGTATTTTCCTGTTTGATGCAAAAGCTCTTTAGTTGCTTATAGTTTTGCAGTTGCTCAGGGCAAACACAGTCAGTCTGAGCAGCTAATTGTTTGCCACCCTTTAAAGCCTGCTTGGGATCGGGGAAGTAGATGCTGTTTCCCCAAAGATGTTTGAAGAACTTGATTAGTAAGTAAGGAACTTAATAAGTTTAGATCATTCCTAACACATCAGGCAGATTGGGCTCACTGACAAGATGTGGTAATAAGACTTTTTAAAGCACAGTAGGAGGTCATGGTACTACTGGCCACATTTTATACAGTAGGCATACCAGTTGCATCATTTTCCTGAAAGATGGGAGGCCTTATTTCAGTTACACCTGCAACCTGATGTAGTTAAAAACCCCATCTTCAGCCTTCCAGGAGAATGCACTACCCAGTTGAATGTAGATGGAAATGCATCCAAATACTTCTTGGAAGGGTTCGTGTTCCCACTGAAACTGTGTCACTGACCAAGAAGACTTGGCTAACTTCTTGAAAGCAGAATTACTAGTTTTTTCTTGAAGTAATTACTAGGAGAAAGGGTAAGATAAAGAGGGCAAAATAGGGAGCGTGTTCCAGTTGTGGTAGTTTGGTAAACAAGGTATGGGTTTCAGATTACAATTTTTTTGTACCTTTGTCCATGTACTTGGTTGGTAATTTAAAACTATATTTTAAAAGCTCTTTTAATAACATTTACAAGGAAAATTTCATTTTTTTCTAGATGTAGACAAAGATACTGTGAACAGTAGTTCTAAGTCTACAAAAAGAAGTCCTACTGATGAAGGTCAAGATGAAATTCCTAGAAAAAAATCAAAGAAGAACAAGAAACACAAAAGCAAGAAGAAGAAGAAAAAGAAGAAGAAAAGGAAGAAAGAGAAAAAGCATAAAAAGCAGCCAAAAGAGTCAAAACTGAGCGCACGTCATGGAGAACATGCAAACTTACAGCCTGCGTCTCACTTGATGCCAGAGAATTCAAGCTCCAAACAGAGTATACAGCATGGAGGATCTGGAGATTCAAATCTGGCTGTTCACGTGCAGCCAGAAGAAATGTGCTTAAAAGTAAGTGAGGAGCTTGACAGACACGCTTTAGGACTTGATTCTCATTTGAGATCTGATTCTCAGCCACGTAAGGAAGATCTTGAAAGTGAGAAGGGAAATTTGTGTGCAGCACATCCTCAGTTTAATATAGAAAGCAGCAAATCTGATATCCAACAATATACTAGTATAACTCAAAGTAACATTTGCACTAGAGAAGAACAAATTAGTGTGTCTCACGAAAATATTTATCCTGTAGCTATTAATACGAGTGGAAAGGGTGAACTTCATGTTGATACTGGAAGTGATACATTGTCTAGCATCCCATCTGGAGTTGCCAATAAATCTGAACTTCAGAAAGATCCAGAAGTAGTAGAAGCACTAAAAGATTCAGAAGATATTCTGAAGTCGAAAGGCACTGGGGAAGCTTTCAGTACAACTCTTGAATCTGAGACCATGGAAGTGTTGAAATACTCAGAAGCAACTCTAAAATCTGCGGCACAGTTGGGAACAAAAGAATTAGAAACAAACTCGGAATCTGTGTCTTTGGCAAGTGATTTGACAACAATTCCTAATTCTGCAAACCAGGCAGATTTGAATACTGTGAAGTTAGCTCACGTATCTATGGCCATAGAAGAAGTGAAAATTCCAGAAGCGACAGAAGAATCTCTGCATATGGCAAACGTGAAAAGTGTAGAAGGATCTTTGGAACTAAGGAGTGTGCCTGGAACTTTGGAGCCAACCCTAAAGCCCTTAACTGTAGCTGATGATTTGAGAACGGCACAGCGGAGCCCCATGGAGAGTGTGGACGTCTTCCAAACAGCCTTGGAACCTGTAGCTATAATGGGGGATGTGAAAGATAAAAAAACAGACCCAGATACGGCTTTGCAACATGCTTTTAAAATACCTGTGGGAATGGCTTTAACCCAGGTGGAAGTGAAAAGTGCCGAAATACCCCTAGGACCAGGGGCTGTAACAAAGGTGAAAGACGTTGAACTGGCCAGCGGCTCTGTGCAGACAGAAAACGTGAAGGGTTTGGAAGAAGGTCTGGTAAAGACAAAAGCTTTGGACACAGTTGTGGAACCTGTGGGTATGATAGGAGCAAAAGATGTCAAAGTAGCTCAAGAACCTCTGCAAGTTGAAGTTACCAAAAGTTTGGAAGGAACCATTGGTTCTGCAGCATTGTTAAATGCTTCAGAGGTGGTCTTAGAGCCTGAAGAGACAGAATCTAGAGCTTTGGATAGAACCCAGGTGTTTGCAGTTCTAGCAGAAGTAACCAATGTGAATGTGGCTCAAGAACCTCTACAAATGGGAGATATGAAAAAAATCCAAGAGGCTAATGATTTGGAAACAACTTTTCAAGCTGTAGCTGTGACAGAGTTAAAAGCAACAGTGAGCCAAGAACCTCAGCAAACTAAAGATTCAGGAGCAGCTCTAAAATATGTGGTGGCAGAGGCAGAAGGATTAAAAGCAACATTAGAACCTGTAACAGTTATGGAGGCATTTGTCCCCAAAACAGCTTCAGAAATCCAGATGGTGGAGGGTTATAAAGGTCCACAAACAACTGTGGAAGTTGTGACGCTAGCTACAAAAAAAGCTATGGAAACGAATCAAACTGCTCTGCAACTGGAAAATAATACTTCAAAAATTTCAGAAGCGACTCTAAAGCCTGGAGCTGTAGCAGAGGCAAAAGATTCAGAAGGAAGTTCGTTATTGAGACAAAGAGAGGACTTGAGAGACTCAAGATCTGAGAGCGAGTCAAATGTGAAAGGTTTCGAAGCAGCTCCTCTTTCTTTTCAGAAGGAAGATGTGAAAGGTCCAGGAGGAATCATAAGACCAATGGCAATGCTAGAAGGAAAAACTTCAGAAACAACTTCACTGTCTTTGCAAACAGATGATATGAAAGCTTCAGAAGGAGCCCTGAAATATGGGGCTCTGACCACAGGTTTAGCAGCAGCACTAGATTCGGCAGTGGAGTCAAAAGGTTCAGAAATAAATCTGGGTTGTACGGCAGGAGTAGAAGCACCTTCTGATGCCGGTTTCCCAGCTGTGAAAATCGGAAATGAAAAGCATTTGGAAAGAAGCATAGGTACTGTGAGAGCAGTGGAGAGTCTGGAAACGACCTTAGTACCTATAGCAGAGACGGAAGGGAAAGATTCAGAAGCAGTCCTTGACGGCGCCAGGACAGGGGTGAAAACATCTTCATCACATCTGCAGACTGAAGATGTGAAAGATTTAGGAGGAGATCCAGAGTCTTTGGGTATAGCAAAGATGAAAGCTTTGGAAGCAGTCTTTCAGCCTGCGCCCCTTGCAAGGGCAAAGGGTATAGGAGAAAATGTAGGTTCTGAAGCCAAAATTGGCACCCAAGTTTTGGAAGCAAGTCCAGGACGTCTGGCCTTAGAAAGTTCAGAAAGAACTCCTGAATCTCCATTTGCACATGTAAGCATGGAGCCCATTACAAAGTCTGAGGCACTGGCAGAAGTGACACATTTGAAAACTGCAGCAGAGACAGAACCAAAACCTGTGGAAACAATTGTTGAGCCTCTTGTTACAAGCAAAACAAAGAGTTCGGTCTCTTCGCAGCCTGAAGTCTTGACAGATAGAGAGTTGGAGATAACCTCACAGACTGAGATGACAAGGGAGATGAAGGATTCTGAAATAGCTACTGGACCTGCCATTGTAAAAATGAGACATTTAGACAGCTTGCCAGAAGTTGAGGCAGTTTTAGAGGTAAAAGATGCGGAAGCAAGTTCAAAAACTTTGCACTTAACAGAAGTGAAAAATTTGGAAATGGCTGTGGGATCTAAAACGAAGTCACTCATGCAGGACTTGGGAACAACCGTAGAATCTGAGGTGGCTGCAGAAGTAAAAGATTCTGAAGTTCCTCCAGAAGATCTGAACAAAGCAAAGGTGAAGAACAAAGAAGCAGTACTGGAACGTGTGCAAACAGTGATGGTGGAAACTTTGGAAGAAAATTCAAAATCTCTGCACGTGGAAGAATTGGAAACAACTGTGGAATATGAAACTGGAAGTAAGCCAGAAAAATCTGAAGGAGTAATAGAATCCAAGACTGTTAAAGGAGTAGAATATTCCAGAACAGCTCCAGAATCTCTGCAGACACCAACAGTGGGCGATACAGAAGGAGTATTAGAATCTTTACCCAGAGTTGAAGAAAAAATTGCGGCATCAGAAGTAGTGACAGAAGTGAGAAACTCGAAAGGAACTTTGGAATCTAAGGTTTCAACAGATGTGAGAAATCAGGGACCTACTGTAGAGTATATAATTGCAACAAGACGGACAGGTACAAAAAAAGTTGAGTCTTCACATATTATCAGCGTAAAAGATTTTGAAGAAGCTTCAGGAACGGATAAAGGAGTGAAAGTAAAATATTTGGAGGCAGCATCAGAAGCTAGAGAAAAGAGTTTTTTGCAAAGTACAAAAGAACCTGCGGTAGCAGAAAGGAAAGATTCTGGAAGAGTCGCAGAACCTGAGGGTACCCAAGGTTTGGAAGCTTCCCAAAAATCTGAAGAAGTAGGGATGATGAATGTTTTAAGAGATGCTTCAGAAACATTCACCAGAGCAAAACAGCTTTCGGAAGCTGTTTCAGAGTCTTTACACACTGAAAAGCCAGAACATCTGCAAGTAGTTCCAGACGCCAAACCTGCTGCAGAACAGAAAAGTGCAGAAGAGGCTCCAGAAATCTTGAGTGCTGCTGAAATGAAATCTTCTGAAGCAGTTCCAAAAACAGGGGATGTGAAAGATCTGGAAACAGTGCTAGAACGTGAAGAAGCAGCAGAAGTACAGTATTCAGAAGTGGTACAGTGTCAGCAAATGGAGGATGTAAGAGTTCCAGAACAAACTCAGGAACGTGAGATACAGGTTGAGAAGGAAGATACAGAACAAACTGTACCACCTGAGCCTTTGATAGAAGTAAATGGTAGGCAGACTACTGAAGCATCAGTGGCAGGTCCAGAAGCAGCTTTTAGTTCTTTACATGCAGCAGATGGAAAAGACTCAGCAGCAACTCCTGAATCTGTAAAACACTTGGAAGCTGGTCCAGCTGATGTGGCAGAGACACAAGATTTGGAAGCAGCTCCAACACCTGAGGCAACTGTAGAGCTGAAAGATTCAGGAGCAGCTGCAGGATCAGGGGCAGAGACAAAAGATTTGGAAGCAGCTCTGAGACCTGAGACTGTTACAGAAGAAGTTCCAGTGCTGGTGGCAGAGGCAAGCGAGTCAGAAGAAACTCCACAGGCTGAGGCTGTGAAAGAAGCAGCTCCAGGGCAGGCGGAAGAAGCAAGAGATTCAGAAACATCTGATGTGCAACCTGATGTGGCAGCACGGATGAGAGAGACTCTGATGAGACTTGAGAAAGTTTTTGAAAAAAGCCACAGAAGTGATAAAAAACACGATGCGAAGAAACTAAAAAGGAGTCGTTCAAAGTCTCATTCCAGGTCTAAGAAGAGGAAAAAAAAATCAAGGTCAAGTTCTACTTCCAGGCGTTTGACCTCTAAAAGAGCACGTTCTAGGAGCAGAAACTATTCAGATTCCAGAAAAAAGCATTCCAAATCTAGATCCCGGTCTGTGGAGAAGAGAGAGAGGAGGGTGTCTTCCCGGAGGTCCAGGCGCAGACGTTCCAGGTCCTCAGACCGCTACAGGTCTAAATCCAGATCAGCAGAAAAGAGAGGGAGCAGATTGTCCTCTGGGAGGTCCAGGCGTAGACGTTCCAGGTCCTCTGACCGCTACCGGTCTAAATCCAGATCAGTGGAAAAGAGCAGACTGTCCTCTAGAAGGTCCAGGCGCAGGCGTTCAAGGTCTTCAGACCGCTACCGGTCTAAATCCAGATCAGTGGAAAAAAGGCTGTCCTCCCGAAGATCTGGCCGCAGGCGTTCCAGGTCCTCTGACCGCTACCGGTCTAAATCCAGATCAGTGGAAAAGAGCAGACTGTCCTCTAGAAGGTCCAGGCGCAGGCGTTCTAGGTCTTCGGACCGCTACCGGTCTAAATCCAGATCAGTGGAAAAAAGGCTGTCCTCCCGAAGATCTGGCCGCAGGCGTTCCAGGTCCTCTGACCGCTACCGGTCTAAATCCAGATCAGTAGAAAAAAGGCTGTCCTCCCGAAGGTCTGGCCGCAGACGTTCCAGGTCTTCGGACCGCTACCGGTCTAAATCCAGATCAGTGGAAAAAAGGCTGTCCTCCCGAAGATCTGGCCGCAGGCGTTCCAGGTCCTCTGACCGCTACCGGTCTAAATCCAGATCAGTGGAAAAGAGCAGACTGTCCTCTAGAAGGTCCAGGCGCAGGCGTTCTAGGTCTTCGGACCGCTACCGGTCTAAATCCAGATCAGTGGAAAAAAGGCTGTCCTCCCGAAGATCTGGCCGCAGGCGTTCCAGGTCCTCTGACCGCTACCGGTCTAAATCCAGATCAGTGGAAAAAAGGCTGTCCTCCCGAAGATCTGGCCGCAGGCGTTCCAGGTCCTCTGACCGCTACCGGTCTAAATCCAGATCAGTGGAAAAGAGCAGACTGTCCTCTAGAAGGTCCAGGCGCAGGCGTTCAAGGTCTTCAGACCGCTACCGGTCTAAATCCAGATCAGTAGAAAAAAGGCTGTCCTCCCGAAGGTCTGGCCGCAGACGTTCCAGGTCTTCGGACCGCTACCGGTCTAAATCCAGATCAGTAGAAAAAAGGCTGTCCTCCCGAAGGTCTGGCCGCAGACGTTCCAGGTCTTCGGACCGCTACCGGTCTAAATCCAGATCAGTAGAAAAAAGGCTGTCCTCCCGAAGGTCTGGCCGCAGACGTTCCAGGTCTTCGGACCGCTACCGGTCTAAATCCAGATCAGTAGAAAAAAGGCTGTCCTCCCGAAGGTCTGGCCGCAGACGTTCCAGGTCTTCGGACCGCTACCGGTCTAAATCCAGGTCAGCAGAAAAGAGACTATCCTCCTGGAGGTCCCGACGCAGACGTTCCAGGTCGTCTGACCGTTCTAAATCTAGATCCAGGTCTTCAGAAAAGAGAGGGGGCAAAGAATATTCCTGGAGGTTCAGACACAGAGGGTCTGGTTCATCTGATCGTTCAAAATCTAGGTCTAGGTCAGTTGAAAAGAGGAGTCGGAAGGCATCTCAGCGGAGGTCTAAACGTCAGCGCTCAAAGTCCTCTGACCGTTACAAGTCTCGATCCAGATCGGTAGAAAAAAAAGATCGGAAGCAATCATCACGGAAGTCTAAACGTCAGCGCTCAAAGTCCTCTGATCGCTACAAGTCTAGATCCAAATCAGTGGAAAAAAAGAAGGAGTCTTCAAGAAAATCTAAGCGTCGCCGCTCAAAGTCTTCTGAACGTTATAAGTCTAGATCGAGGTCTGTTGAAAAAAAGCGCAAGGAATCTTCAAAGAAATCCAAACGGAAACGCTCTAAATCCTCTGACAGTGTTAAATCAAGGTCCAAATCTGTCGAAAAAAGAGAGACCAAGTTATCCTCAGTAAAGTGCAGTAATAAGCACATTGAGTCTTGTGAACATCTTGAGACAAGAACTAAATCTCCTGAAAAAATAGATGGTCCTGAACCTTCTTTGACATCTGAAGGCAGCTCCTCCAAATCCTCTGATGGTCCCGTGTCGATGGCTTTGCCTGCTGAAAAGGTAAATGGTCCAGAGCTGCCGCTGACATCTGAAAGCGGATCTTCCAAAACTTTAGATAGCCTTGAGACAAGATCCTCCTCTATTGAAAAAACAGAGGATCTGCAGCCTACCGTGTTGTCTGAACTTGAAAGCTCCAAAGGCCCAGATGACCAGGAATTGGGATCCATGCCTGCGGAAAAAACACAGGTTTCTGAGCTTTCTCTGACAAGTGAAAATGGGTGTTCCACCACCCTTTATAACTATGACTCTGGATCCACACCAGCTGAAAAAACAGTGGCTCTGGAGTCTTCAGCACTACCTGAACTTCCATGTTCCACGTCCAAGTCAAGATCCTCATCTGTTGAAAAAAGAGAGGATCCAAAGCCGCCTCTGGTAGCAGATTTTCCACTCTGCACATCCCCTGAAAATGAATTGAGGTCTACATCTCTCAAAAAAATACAGGATCCAGAGCCTCTTCGGGCATTTGAAAGTGGATGCTCTGTGTCTTCTGATGCTTGCAACTCAATTTCCTTGTCCTTGGAAAAAACAGAGGTTCAAGGATCTTCTCTGATGTCTGAAAGTGCGGTCTCTGACTTTACTGATGGTCATGAAGTGAGACCTATCCCTGCTGAAAAAACAGAGCTTCAGAAGTTTTTGCAAGTACCTGAAAGTGGATCTTCTAAATTGGCTGACAGCCCTCAGCCAAGGTCACTGTCTTTTGAAACAGCAGTGGTTCAGGACACCAGACTTGCATGTTCCAAGTTCCCTGATGTCCATGAGTCTGCCTCCTTGCCTATTGAAAAAGGCAGGATGCAGGAGCCTTCCCTGGCTTCTGACAGTGGATGCTCCAAGTCTCCTGATAGACACGAATCAGGATCCTGCTTTGCTGCAAAACCAGAGGAGCTTTCATTGATGTTGGAAGGTGGGTCCTTCAAGTCACCTGACGGAAATGAATTAGGATCCTTATCTAGTGAAAAAGTAGAGGCTCTAGATGCTTCTCTGTCATCTGAACGTGCTCCCGTTGAGGTCTCGGATGACCTAATGTCAGCTCCATCTTTAGAAAAAGTGCAGGAGGTTGTTACGGCAGCTGTAGGGGAAAGCTACCAGTCTTCCGAAGTTCATGAGTCGACATCATCTGTTGACAAAGATCTAGGCAGTCTGGAATCTTCACAGGTACTTGAAATTGGCTGCTCTGAATCTTCTCAAATCTGTGGATCCCTGCCAGCTGAAAAAAGAGAGAGTATAGAATCTTTTTCGACATCTAAAAGTGGATTTCCCATGTGCCATGATGGCCATGAGTCAAAATACAATTTTTTGGAGAAACTGGAAGGTGCAGAACTGTCAGTGGCATCTGAACGTAGGTATTCTGCATTTCCAGAAGGCCATGAATTGAGATCCACTGCAGCTGAAGAGTTAAATATACAAAAACCTTCTCTTCTGCTGGCAAGTGGATCCTCGGAATCCACTGATGTTTGTCAGTCAGTAAGCACTCTTAATGAAAAACTAGATTCCCAGATGCCTTCTCTGACATCTGAAGATGGACTTTTCCTCTTGCCTGATAGTCATGAGTTGAGACCTATCCCTGCTGAAAGAGTGGAAGTGCAAAAGTCGTATTTGGCCTCTGAACTTGGATGCACTGTATCTCCTGATGGCCACAAGTTGAGATCTGCCTCTGAAGAAATACGGGTGCAGGAGCCGTCTCTGATGCTGGAAAGTAGATGTTCCATTTCCTCTGACGGCCCTCAGTTGATATCTGCCCCTGCAGAGAGAGTTGAGGTGGAGGAGTCTTCTCAAATGTCTGAAAACGAATACACAATGTCTCTTGATGACCAGCAGTTGAGATCAGCCGCTGTTGAAAAACGAGAGGTACGGGAACCTTATCTGACACCTGAAGGAAGGTGTTCAGTCTCCCCTCAGAGCCAGGAGTTGCTGTCATCCCCTGCTGAAAAGGTAGAGGTGCAAGAGTCTTTGACATCTGAAAATGAATGTGCTGTATCGTGGGAGGGCCAGGAGCTGAGATCTAGCTCTCTTGAAAAAGTAAAGATGCAGGAACCGTCTGTAACGCCTGACAAAGAATATGCTGTCGTCCCTGAAGATCAAGAATTGCCATCTTCCCTTGCTGAAAAAGCAGAGGTACAGGAGTGTTCTTTGCTGTCTGAAAACGAGTATGCTGTATCCCCGGAGGACCAGGAGTTGAGAGCCAGCCCTGCTGAAAAAGTAGAGGTGCAGGAACCTTCTCTGACATCTGACAACGAATATGCCATATTCCCTGAAGGCCAGGAATTACAGTCTACCCTTGTGGAAAAAACAGTGGTGCAGGAGCCTTCTCTCATATCTGACAGTGAATATGCTGCATCCCCTGAAGGTGAAAAAACAGAGGTACAGGAGTGTTCTCTGCTATCGGAAAATGAGTATGTTTTGTCCCCGGAAGGCCGGGATTTGACATCCAGCCCTGTTGAAAAAGAAGAGTCGGAGGAACCTTCTGAAACATCTGAAAGTGAAAGTTCAATGTCCACTGATAGCCAGGAGTTGCAATCTACTCTTGCTGAAAAAGCAGAGGTGCAGGAGCTGTCTCTGATGTCTGAAGGTGAATGTACTATGTCCCCTGAAGGTCAGGAGTTGCATTCTAGCCCTCCTGAAAAAGGAGAGACTAAGGAGCCTTCTCTGACATCTGAAAACGAACATGCTCTGTCCCCCGAAGGCTACGAATTAAGACTGACCCATGATGAGAAAGTAGAGGATATGGATTCTTCTTTGACGTCTGAAAACGATCATCTTTTGTCTTTTGAGGGTCAGGAGTTAAGATTCACCCCTGTTCAGAAAGCAGATGTGCAGGAGCATTCTCTGACACCTGAAAGTGAACGTTCAGCATCCCCTGATGGCCAGGAGTTGAGATCCCCCCTTGTTGAAAAAGTAGGTGGTCTGGAACAGTCTTTGACATTAAATGATAAATCCTCCATGTCCCCTGATGGTAGTGACTTGAAATCCGTCCCTGTTGAAAAAATGGAGGATGGGATGCCTTCTTTAATGCCTGAAAGTGGATGCTTCATGTCCCCTGATGGCTACAGTGTGAAATCTGCCCCTGGTGAAGAAGCAGGAGATCTAGAGCCCTCTTTGACATCTGAATGTAGGCGTTCCACGTCCCCTGATCATGATGGCCATGAGCTGAAATCTCCCATGGAAGAAGAGGGTATGGAATCGTCTTTGACTTCTGACCATAGGAGATCCGTGTCCCCTGATGGGCATGACGTGAAATCTACCATGGATGAAGAAATAGAAGATATGGAGCCGTCTTTGACATCTGAACGTAGACATTCCACATCCCCTGATGAGCATGAATCAAGATCTACCACTGGTGAAGAAGCAGAGTACCCGGAGCCACCTTTGACAGTTGAACGTAGACACTCCATGTCTTCTGATGGCCGTGAGTCGAGGTCTACCACTGGTGAAGAAATAGAGGATGTGGAACCCTCCTTGACAGCTGAACGTAGACATTCCACATCCTCTGATGAGCATGAGTCGAGGTCTACCACTGGTGAGGAGGTAGAGGATGTGGAGCCGTCTTTGACAACTGAACGCAGACACTCCACGTCCTCTGATGAGCATGAGTCGAGGTCAACCACTGGTGAAGATGTAGAGGATGCAGAGCCCTCTTTAACGGCTGAACTTAGAGGCTCTGTGTCTCCTGATGGACGTGAATCGAGGTCTACCACTGGTGAAGAAGTAGAGGACGTGGAGCTCTCTTTGACAGCTGAACGTAGACACTCCACATCCTCTGATGAGCATGAGTCGAGATCTACCACTGGTGAAGAAGTAGAGGATGTGGAGCCCTCTTTGACAACTGGACGTAGGCACTCCACGTCCTCTGATGAGCATGAGTCGAGGTCTACCACTGGTGAGGAGGTAGAGGATATGGAGCCGTGTTTGACAGCTGAACATAGACGCTCTACATCCCCTGATGGGCGTGAATCGAGATCTACCACTGGTGAAGAAGTAGAGGATGCGGAGCCCTCCTTGACAGCTGAACGTAGACACTCCACATCCTCTGATGAGCATGAGTCGAGGTCTACCACTGGTGAGGAGGTAGAGGATGTGGAGCCCTCTTTGACAGCTGATCATGAGCACCAGGAGTCGCTTTCCATGCCTGTTGAAAAGCTGGAGGGACAGGATTCTTCCTTTGTGCCCGAAAGTAGGCGTTCTGAGTCTTCTGAACGTGAGAAATCTAGATCCAAATCTGTTGAAAAAGCATCTGACAAAGAGTCTTCACGAAGATCTAGAAGCAGACGCTCAAAATCTCTTACTCGCCAAAAGAGTCGATCGACATCCGTTGAAAAAATAGCAGACAAAGAGTCTTCGCGAAGATCTAGACGTAGACGCTCCAGGTCCACCGCTCGCCAAAAGAGTAAGTCCACATCTGTTGAAAAAACAACTGACAAAGAATCTTCACGGAGATCTAGACGTAGACGCTCCAGGTCCACCGCTCGCCAAAGGAGTCAATCGACATCTGTTGAAAAAACAACTGACAAAGAATCTTCACGGAGATCTAGACGTAAACGCTCCAGATCCACAGCTCGCCAAAGGAGTCGGTCCAAATCTGTTGAAAAAACAGCTGACAAGGAGTCTTCACGGAGGTCTAGAAGCAGACGTTCCAGGTCTTCTCAGCGCAGATCCCAGAGGTATGATACAGAATCTCGCTCTAGACGGAATCGCTCCAGATCAGTAACACGCAGAAGAGCATCAAGATCAAAATCTAATCGTCGTTCTCGATCTAGCTCACTGTCTCGTTCAAGGCACAGGAGGAGGAGTAGGTCAAGATCAACGTCAAGAAGAAGGCGTTCTTTATCAAGAGACAGACGTAAAAGATCTCAAAGAAATAGATCAAGATCTACTGATAGAAGGAGGAGGAGATCAGATTCAAGAGATCGTAGAATATCACTCAGGTTACGTAGCAGGAGTCGAACACCTGTTCGTCAAAGGCGATCAAGGTCAAGAGGAAGAAGACGGAGCTCTAGTAGGTCACCGATTCGACTACGGCGATCAAGATCTTCAGGGAGAAGAAGATGTTACAGCAGATCACCTGATCGTCGAAGGTCCAGGTCGTCTGAACGGTTTTCAAGCAGGTCACCTAAGCGTCTTACAGACTTGGGTAAGTAATAATTTTGTCCTTAATAATTCCATGATGAGGCAGTACTGATTGGTTTAAATGCAACCTCGTTTTAACACATCTCTGTAGCATTCATAAGGAATTTCTTGAATTGCTGTTAGGCAGCAACTTTTGATGAGACAGCTTTTCTGTTGGAACTGAATCAGTGGTTACCACTTGGATGAAAATTGCACTTAAAGCAGAGATATATCTTTGTTTTAAAGCTTTTATGCAAAGGTAGTCTGCTGTAGTCTTGAGGAATGCTGTTCGTTGTAATGTTTGAAAAAGGCCCAAATATTCTCTGTAAGAGAGTTGTGAATTGCTAGTTTGTTTTTACTGAGAACAAACTGGACATGAAAGAACACGCAAAAGTAAATGCCAGTAGAGAGTTCCATCATCAGCTGTAATGCTTGTTTCCCTTACTGCCTTGCTGCTTTTCCACTCTTATTTTTGCTACTCACAGCTTTGCTATATGAAGAGGGACGTTGTTGAACTATTAAGTGTGTGATATAGAGGATTTATTGGCTATGGCCCGTATTTTATGGGCTTGAAAAAGGTCTGCTTTTTTCTTCATTGTACTCGTGAATCTTGAGGTGAGCTTCCCTGTACTGTGATCATTTCTACTCAGGTTACCTTTTCAGAGACTCCTAATTGAATTATACTCTTAATTCCACAGTGTAGGTAAGTAGGCATACTTTCTCTTCTTAACCAGAGTAAATTAGTAGTAACACAGATGCAGCTAGCTAGTTTCTACCTTGGTTTGGTACAGGTCGGTACTGTGTCACTAGCAACCTTGCTCTGGGCATTTGTAGGTTGAGGTTTATTTGCAGGTGTGGCTTCAGGCTGCTAGCATATGCCAAATGCTAGAGAGCTTATGGTAAGGAATTGAATTTTGGATCAAGACTTTTCAGTTCTCATCCTTGTGCTACATAGGAATGTGGAACATTCAAACTCTGCTGAAGATATGACCATAAACTGGCAACAGGGACAGTGTTCTTCAGACATCTATTGTGTGACTGGGGAGACTTGGAGGGGGAGGGGAGGGGAAGAAAAGTAGCTAGATAATGTACGTTAGGAACAGTGTTGCGTTTTTATTTCATTGGATCTGTGATAGCTTTCCTAAAACCACAAAGCTTTAGTTTCACAGATTCCTTTCCGAAGAATAGGAAACCATTTTGAGTATAATAAGTTAGTTGATATTCTTCCATTTCTTTTACTTTTGGATAATTAAGACCATTTGCTCAAAGGCTGTAAGAAACTCTCATATATGTCCATCATACAGTAAATGAAGTGCTATTTTTCTGGTCCTCTGCCCAGTCTGGAATACCTTTGTCTTTGTTTCTTACGTGATATGCTTCATTTTCCACTTGGCTTTAGACTTTGCTGTGGTCATAGGCATGTCAGTTATGCCTGCTGATGTCAGGGTAGATTTATGCTAAGAACTTCGTGGAAGGGATGCTGTTTCTGGAAAAAATTCCCGAACCCATCTGATGCAGAAATGAAAGTGAAAATCCTAATGAACTGCATTGGTCTACTGTGATTGGAGGAAGAGGGGCCTTGTGGTTTTCTTAGATACTACGTTTCATGAGGAGAAATGAGGGTCCTGTTCGGAGAGTTGAGCCCTCCTATGGGTAGTGTGAGAATGGGCCCCCTTTTGTGGAGCTCAGGTTCTGTTTCTTTCAGTTCTCTCTCATAGAGTTAGCATGGAAGTCCCTCTACCAGCAGTACTTTTGTGCAGAACATGAGAATTAATGGGCAGCTTTGAATCTGCCTTTGATTACTCAGCAAATTATAGATATATACCTGTATTTAGTATTTTTGTAAAGCTATTTGCTTGCAGAGGCGGTGGTAACTCATTTGCAAACTGTGAGATCAGACAGGAGCACACAGAATCACAGAATGGTTGAGGTTGGAAGGGACCTCTGGAGATCATCTAGTCCAACCTCCCTGCTCAAGCAGGGTCCTCTAGAGCGTATTTCCCAGGATCACATCCAGACAGGTTTTGAATATCTCCAGGGAAGGAGACTCCACTACCCACTCCACCCTCACAGTGAAGAAGTTTTTTCTCAGGTTTAGGTGGAACTTCCTGTGGTTCAGTTTCTGCCCGTTGCCTCTCGTCCTGTCGCTGGGTGCCACGGAGAAGAGACTGGCCTCATCCTCTTGACACCCCCTTCAGATACTTAAACACGTTGATGGGATTGCCTCTCAGTCTTCTCTTCTCCAGGCTGAACAGGCCCAGCTCTGTCAGCCTTTCCTCAGAGGAGAGATGTTCCCGTCCCCTAATTATTTTTGTAGCCCTCCGCTGGACTCTCGCCAGGAGTGCCATGTCTCTCTTGTACTGGGGAGCCCAGAATTGGACACAGTACTCCAGGGGAGGCCTCCCCAGGGCTGAGGAGAGGGGCAGGATCACCTCCCTCCACCTGCTGGCAACAATCTTCCTAATGTAGCCCAGGATACCATTGGCCTTCTTGGCCGCAAGGGCACGTTGCTGGCTCATGCTTAACTTGTTGTCCCCCAGGACTCCCAGGTCCCTCTCTGCAGAGCTACTTTCCAGCAGGTCGACCCCCAATCAGTACTGGTGCATGGGATTATTCCTGCCTAGGTGCAGGACCCTGCACTTGCCTTTGTTGAACTTCAGGAGGAAGTTCGCCCTCTCCGCCCAGCTCTCCAGCCTGCCCAGGTCCCTCTGAATGGCAGCGCAGCCTTCTGCTGTGTCAGCCACTCCCCCCAGTTTAGTATCATCAGCAAACTTGCTGAGAGTGCCCTCTGTGCCTTCCTCCAGGTCCTTGATGAATAAGTTAAGAACAGTACTGGGCCTAGTATTGGCCCCTGGGGGACACCACTAGATACGGGCCTCCAACCAGACTCTCTGCCACTGATCGCAACCCTCTGAGTTCTGCCAGTCAACGAGTTTTCAGTCTGCCTCACTGTCCACTCATCCAGCCCACGCTTCCTGAGCTTGCCTATGAGGATGCGATGGGAGAGAGTGTCAAAAGCCTTGCGGAAGTCCAGGGAGACAGCATCCACTGCTCTCCCCTCATCTGCCCAGCCAGTTGTTCCATCATAGAAGGCTATCAGATTGGTCAAGCATGATTTCCCTTGGGTGAATCCATGCTGACTACTCTGGATCACCTTCTTGTCCTCCAGATGCTTAGTGAGGACCTCCAGGATGAGCTGCTCCATCACCTTTCCCGGGATGGAGGTGAGGCTGACAGGCCTGTAGTTCCCTGGCTCTTCCTTCTTGCCCTTTTGGAAGGCTGGGGTGACACTGGCTTTCTTAGTACACACAAAACATTTTATTTCCATTCCCTATTCTTGTGCTATGGCCACACGTGCTTTTTTGTTTGATAAAGCAAAATACTCTTCTAATAATGTTTTTGTGTGTAATTGTATGTTATACAAGTCTCAGTGCTTATGTTTTCTGTCGATTGGTTGTAAGTAGGTTTCAGGCTGCAGGTTTCCTCAGGGCCTTTGAATGCCCTTCAGAGATAGCTAAGAAGGGGACTTTGGAATTTAAGCTGTGTGACTATAACCCTTTATTTCTAACATTAGAATGAGTCAACAAGGTAAAATAGGCATCCAGAATAACAAATAGAACTTTTGAATTTGGGAGATTTTAAGTTCTGAAATTTGGACTTCTGTGCTTTGTGTTAAATATGCAGTTTCACTTGTTTGTTGAATAGACCTCAAAAAAAAAAAGTCTAGGGGAATTAACTAAAATTTTAGGAGTTTTCTCAGATTGTAAAAATCCACAGTATGGGTAAAAATATTGTGGTTTTTCCTTTGGTTTAGTCTGCTAGAAGTGCTTATGAAATACTAAGCCAGAAACTGTAAAAAATCATGATCTTTCTTCAAATTTTTTAGACAAGGCCCAGCTACTTGAAATAGCCAAGGCTAATGCAGCTGCCATGTGTGCTAAGTCTGGTGTTCCCTTGCCACCAAGCCTGATGCCTATGTTAGCTCAAAAGAAAGATGACAAAGCCAATAAGTCGTCAAGAGATACTCTAAAGGAGCTCACTGAGGTAAGTGAGAACAACAGTATCAAAATGAACTTGAAAAATGTGCAAGCTATTTTTTGCAGCTCCTAGTCAAACTATCGTTCTGTGTGCTTAACTTGTGTGAAAACTGGCTTATGGTTTGAACCCTTGTTCTGTACGCAATTTTTTGTCATGAAAACAGGCTTTTTAATTCTATGCAAATATGTGAAATCAAATTCTTGTGCTTTTTTTGTTTTAATTCTGTTCTAATTTTGCTAGAATTGGTAGTTGACCTTGCAGTCCTGTTAATAAAATACAAAGCCTTCTGTTCTAGTTCCTGTCTTAGTGTTTTTAGCTATTTATTTATATATATCTATGTTTTAATGAGTTCAGGCTGCTGAATTTTATCTCGTGGTTAAAATTTAGGGTCTATTTTACATACTTCTGTGCTTTTCTAACTTCTGTAATATTTTTTAAAGAGAATTTTTGTAGCAATTCTATCTCATTGCATTTTTAATATACAAATAGGATAGTTTTGATCTGATCATGGGGGAAAATGGCTTCTTTTTCTCTTATTGTAAAAATATCACCTTGTTCAATTTGCTGATTTCTTCTTATGAGATTTTTACCCCAAACTAGAAAAAATTTGAACTGAAGAAATAATTTTTTTTTTTCTGTCAGCAGTGTGACAATCCTGAAATACAAATTTGTTTATGGAAATAAATTAAAAAATAATTGGGCATTATCAAATTGGTGAAGAACAATTTCTCAACTGTATGTGGGATAGTGGAAGCAGAAGAACTTTCCGGTAATAGATTGAGATAGTGCAGATAGACTGTGCAGATGTATTGGGTGGTTCTGCATGTACTTGACCAGGATCTAATATAGCTAGTGCTAATTTGAAGCCAAAACGTCTTGCCCCTTCTTTGCCATTTCCAGCTCTGGAAATGTGTGTGATAATGTTGCTGTTCCATGCTCTGTTAAATCAAAGCTGGCTACAGAAGTGGTCCAGGGCACCATCATGGGGTACTTTGCCCAAGTGAAGAACCCTTCCAGAACATAGTCAGCTTCTTGCAAAGCAAGCTTCAGTGTCTTTTCTCTCTGCGATGTAATCTGCAAAATGGACAAACTGCTTTCATTTCTTTGGGAGCTGGCTATAACTATGGACAGCATGTTTTGTTGATTACCTTTGTGAACAGCAGAGGCTTTTGCTGTTGCCTAAAAAATGTGCTTCAGTCATTGTTTGGAGGAGGCTTGACACAGGAGAGTGCAGGCATTTTTTTATAGGGATTGGCAAGAATGGTGCTATCAGAGTATTATTTCTAGTGACAGAGCTGCCTCTTTGCTCCTTATATGCCACCAGTTGGATCGTTAAATGGTTGTAACTTCCATTGGTTTGTCATTTCAGCAGTATCACTTCATGTCCCCTCAGATATCACGAGTACACATATCATTAGTGGGAACGCAACAGAAGGATGATACTAGACTATAGTATTCTTAAACTCATTTCAGACTGATTCAGTTATAGTTGCTACTTTGTAAACAAACAGTGGGGGCGAGTATAATCAGTGAAGAGTTTTTCATCATGAAAGTCCAACTTGCCCAGAACTTTTTTTCTGGGAGATCTTTTCTCGTGATTGGGATGCAGCATCGCCATAACACCTGTACGTTTTTAGGTCAAACTTCTGTTAAATATAAAATGGCAATGTCATGTTTACTTTGCTAACCTCATAAGATATTTTAGAGGAAATCTGAATCTTTTAGAGCCGTTCCTTCTGACTGAGTACTTCAGCTACTAGTGGAAATTAGAAGCTATTTACAATTCTTAGGTTTTCGTATGTAGTTGCTTTGTGAGCTTATAGGCCGATATTTATACTATAGTTCCTCTCAGCTTACAATTATGCTTGTAACGTGGGATGCCAAACAACCAGTCTATTCCGACTCTGAAGTGTTTGCAGCCTTAGACAAATATTCTGCAGCTAGCACTGCATAGCGCAGTTTTACAGGACAATGGATCTGAGAGCTTATATGCATGTGAAATTAGGTGCAGCATGAGTGCAAGCTAGGCAAGTTTTAGTAGGTGCTTTATATATGTGTTCAATGTCAAAGGTATGTATACTGAGTAGATTTCTAGAAGGGTGATTGCTCAGATTGTACCCCCTGGGAGGCCCTATTTAAAAAGAAAAAAAAATTGTGAAAGTATTCTTTTTGTCCTTTTTTGTTGAAAGGTCAATGGTTTATTCAGAGTTGTCTCCTCCGCTCTTTTTTATTCCAGAAATGCAAGAAGATTGCTCAAAGTACAGATGATGTGATAGTGAACAAACCTCATGTTTCTGATGAAGAAGAGGAAGAACGTCCTTTCTATAATCACCCCTTTAAACTCAATGAACCAAAACCCATTTTTTTCAATTTAAGTGTGAGTACTTCTGTAATTTCCAATATTTTACGTTTTGGTTATTCTTAAATTTCTGTCAAAACTTTTAAAGTAGTTTTACAGAAATTAAACAGTGATCTGTAACCTTGATAAAATTAGAGTAGAATGTTGTTAAAAGTTTGGTAACTTTTGAAATACCCTTGCCACGATAGGAAACTTAATCTGCAGCCCATGAAATTATAGTTGGATTGAAACTGTTTTTCGTTGTATCTTTTTGCACATGTTCAGTTTAATAACAAAAAGAGGATCAGTTTTGCTTCACCTTCTTGTTGCAAAAATATTAGTATGAATTTGCAAGCAGCGATGAACAGTGCTTTTCGAAATGCATTGCATTTTTAGAGAAGTACCACATTCTAAATGCATTATGAAGTGTTGTAAATAAAGTGATGTCATCAGGTTTGCAAAGACTCCAAATCTTGTATGTCTACTTCTGCAATAGATCTGAAATGTGAATTAAAGGAGAAAAAAGGTCTAGTAGTTTTGAAACTAGCCAATAGAGAAATTAGTGCTATGTTAAGAATGAGGATCATTAATGTTGGCTGTTACTAAAACACACTCACCCCCTCCTCCCCCCCCCCATTTTGGGGGGCTGCTTTTAGCTTTATCAGATTGTATTGGTGTTTTCTGGGTTGAGAAGCACGTTGAAAGGAATAAAACTAGGGAGCTTTTCTTCAAATGCATGTAGTATTTGTGTGCTTTGAAGCATAGATTAGAATTTGTCTGGATGACTTTTTTTTTGGTCAGTTGTATGCTTTTTTTTTTTTTTTGGCTTTGTTGCCTATGAAAGTCTGTCTGGATTTTGCAGGGTATACAGTTATATTAAAAATATTATTTTATACTAAGTGAAAATATAAATGGCATTTAGATACACAAACATACATGTATGCATATGTATAAAAATATGTATAGCTTGTGGAATATACAAAATAGTCACTAATACACATTTGCATAAGGTGTAAGGTAAAATTGGGTTTATACTTGGTATTGCGCCATGAGAAGGTGGTACAATGAAACTCAGGAAAACTGGGGATTCCGTACAGGTTCTGAAGAGGGATGTTCTCACACCACAGTGGGTGTGGGTTGCTCTGCCTGTTCTCCACAGATTTGACCCTTTTTGCGTCATCCTTTCCATTCTTCCTGGATTCTAGTCTTGTTAGCATTCCCACCTGTGTTCTTTTGATAGTAGAGGTTTCCCCACTGCCTTGAGCTGTCTTGGCTCTGTTTGCCTCTTGCCAGAAGAGCTTGTCAGAGATTTCTGTGTATTCTTTTAACTTACCGGCAAAAATTTCGAAGGAAGAGTCTCATGGACTTGATTTAAGTTGGGATTCATGCTACTATCAAAAGTACTCCAAAGCAGAAACTGAGAATTTTGGAAACTGCTTTCTGCATCTTTAATAATGCGGGGCTTTCACCACATACAGATATCATAGCCAACATTTTTTACTGCCTAGGATTTTTGTTTTGGGGTTTTGCATTACTAAATGCACCTGTGGCAGATAAGATCTTTCTTCTTCCCATGATGGGGTGGAAAGAGAGAGGGAGGATACTTGTGAAGGTGAGGTTCTGCATATTTTTTTCTGCCGAAGCTGATTTAAGATATTTCAGCATCTGGCTCTTCTTCTCCTACGCTACAGTTTGTTGCTCTTGCATGTTTTTAGGGCCACGCAGAACTAACTAACTAAAACAATTTATTCTAAAGGCTTTCAGATTGATACTAGTTAGGGAGGATGACTGTTTCGTGAAAACTTAATACCGTATGTATGCAATCAGTTGTTTCTCAAAAACATGTTAGTGAGTATCGTGCAATTTCAAGTCTTAATTTTTCTATTTTTTTTTTTCTTAAAGACTCCAAGTATAAAACCAGCACCACCACCACAACCAAAAAATCAGATCAGCCTGTCAAAGGAATTTCCTGTCTCATCTGGGTCTCAGCATAGGAAAAAAGAAGCAGATAGTGTCTATGGAGAATGGGTACCAGTTGAAAAAGGCAAAGAAGAAAGCAAGGATGATGTTTTCCCCAAACCAGCCATTGAGGTAAGGAAGGGAAGGAAAGCATATACCATAAGAAAAAAAAAAGTGTTACCTGCTCAGTCTGGTACCAAGTTGCAGTCTGTGAAAAAAAAGAATCGCTTATGTAGGTAGCATCTGACACTTTAGTAAGTTCCTTATCTGAACTGCTGCGGTCTTCAAATTTGCTCACCATGTCCGTGTGAGCAATGATAAAAGCAACCTGTACACATAGTGTATGCTTTTGTCAACTAGTGATTTCTTTGTGTCAATAGAATTTAAGCTTTTGCTTGAAGATGAAGAACAAGACAAAACAAATTTCTTGTCGTGTTTTTTGCCAAGATTAATACCCCAAGACTTTCATAATAATTGAAATAGTAATTAAAATTGTCCTACCAATGTTAGAGCAATATATTGAATTGAAATGTAATCCATTTAAAAAGTAGATTTGAAAGTAGTTTTTAAAGCTGCCATTTCATCTGGATGTATCTACTCATTTTTTAGTTTTAAAATCACAGTTTCTTATACCGTTGTCTTCCATATAGCCTTCCAAAAAGAAAGTCTTATTGTATGTAAAATAAACTGGAGGAAAAAAAAAAAGGAAATGTTTTTCCCCTTGAGATGTCTTCAAAATATTTTGTGGTTTTTCTATAATTAAATTAAATATTTAAGATGGAGATGTTACTTTTTTTTTCGAGCTGATGTCACCTCATTTTATCTAAAGAATTGTTCTCATATGTTTCAAAACAAATAAACAACAAAAAGCCTTGGCTTCAATTTCTGATGAAATCATTTTTCAAACCTAGTGCATTTTGTCTTTCAGTGATATTCTAAGACTGTATGCTTTACTCCCTGAAGCACAGATGATATTTCCTCTGTGGCCTTTATAGCACCAAAGGCACAGTGGCTGGAACATAACTCATTTAACAGACATATTTTTATGGTATACCTCAAAGATAGAGCTTGAGGGTCAGGCATTGAACTCGATGCAGTCTCAGTGCAGATGGTAACTGTTGTCTGGCTGGTCTTTGTCAAGAGCCAGTGGTGAGCCAACCATTCTTAAATGTTGGTGCAGAACTTAATTCCCAGTTTACGAGTGTGTGTATTTATGCAAAGTCCAGAGTCTAGAAACTTTTTGTACTAACGCTTGGCCATGTTCTTACCAGGTGGTAAAAAGTCTTTTGTCCTTCAGATGGTTAATGATTTGCTCATAGTGCAGGCAAGCTCTGTAGATGTCTGCATCCAGGTTGCCAGAGACACTAGGCCTGTATCTTTGACAAACAGGTTAGGTAAGCGCTGATAGCTTGTCTGTTGGGTGTATAGAAGAGGCCTTAAAATCTGACGTTGGAATAAATATATTCAACATAGCTTTCTTTTCTTTCTGTCACTTGTATCTTTATAAATGATTGTAAACATGTTGTCTGTTTTTACATTTTGTAAATAAATATTTTTATTTGCATTTACCTTAACTTGGTTTGTGTTAAGGGTGATTTCAAGGGTCATTAGCTGACAGCAGAGCATACTGTCCCCCTGGGTGTGGCAATCCTTAATCTTGAAATACAGGAATATTCTTGTAGTGAAAGAATCCCTGTATGCTTCTCCAGGGAGCCTGAAAGGTAACAGGGTGCTTCTCTGCTTAATGTTATAACTAATTTTTAAATGGGTTATGAGGACCGTTGGGGAAGAAACGGCTTCTATTGAGCAATGTAAGCCAGGTAAGCTCCCTTGCAGCTGTAGCAGGGTAGTAGGGGAGCGTGCTTGGGTCCTCAGGAAGCTTGACGTGTTTTACATCCATTCACTTTATCTGATTGCAAACTTTGGAATCTAGTTGTGACAATTCAGATGCGAGTCTGTATTGACATTAAAAAGTCATACATAATTTGTTTGGTGGTGTTTTGTTTTTATTCAGGTCACAGACCTAGTTACAGAATAAGCGGTCTAAAGTGGCCCTGCTAATTTATTACCGACTGTTCTAATAAAACATTTTGCTGTTAACATAGTTATTCGTGATAGTAAGAGAGGGAGGAAAAAGTCATGCCTTTTAGTACTCTGAAGTATCAGCATGTCTCAAGAAGCCAGGGAAACCTATGAGAAAGCCTGTGAGGCTATGTTTGAAGGTCTGAAAGTGTTCAATTAACATGTATTTAAGTTTGAAATATACAGCGGTGACTATTTTATATAGAGAAGCCTTCTTGATCTAAAAATGCAGTAAGTGCATTTAATGTATCTGTGCACCTACAAAGTATTGGTCAAAAAATGCCTGCTTTCCATTGTCAGCCTGGTCCTTTTTAATTCCATATTTGTGCTTTGTTTCTGTGGGAAAAATGTCATTTACACTCAGGACTGGAAAGGCAGAACTCTTACAGGGAATAGCATGCTGAACTTGAACTGTTTTACTTGATTAAATAATAACACAACTTTTCATACTTCAAGCAGAGATTTTTTTTTTTCAAGATCCAAAGCTGCCATCGAGTGTCTTGACATAATACAAAGCCATGATGGTCTCCAAAATGGTGACTGACCATGTGTGGGGAAAGTGTATGGGAATTCTAACTAACCAGGGTACCTACTAATAGGCCCCAGTCCGGTAAAGCACTTAAGTACACATGTATGTTTAAGTATGTGAGTGGTCCCAATGTGGTTTCAGTGGACTACTTGCATGCCTATGTGTATTGCTGGATTGAAGCTTTTGGTGAGTAGAATAACTTTTATTTATCTCCTGAACCAGTTTCACGAACAAAGCATTAAAAAGAAAAAATTCTAACTGTAAGGGGAACTTGTTAACACAAGAAAGTGTATGTTGTCAACTGACATTCTTTTACATGTGTTACTGTCATGTTAGGCGGTTATTAAAATTGTAAAAGATCTTTTAATTGTTCCTGTGCCTTGTTTATAATCTGCATTTTTGTCAGCTGGGACAATAAATTAACATTTAAGCCAGTTTCATATAAACGTAGGACCTCTGTGATTATGAGTCTGTTTTGGCCCATGCAAGATGCTTCAGCAACCTGGTATGGAAAAATCTTCCTGGAGGAAATACCTTTTTGTCCTAAGCAGTTAAAAAAAAAAATCTTCTTCTTCTTCTTCCTTGGTCTTAAATGCTAAGATTTAATAGCCAGAGTATTAAAAAGTAATTACTTTGTTTTATGCAACAGTAGACATTCTTGTCTGTCTCTTACTATCTTTCAATATTTACTAAGTCATTGAGTTGTTTTCTGTGACAGGGAATTTGTGGATTAACTGTGTTCTTGTGTTTAGGAAAGTCAAATTTAAATTAGTTTCAGTTTCTTCTACTGGCCCCTTATTCTAACGTAACGTGAGGGGCTAAGGTTATGAGATGATCACTGACGAAAGATACGCGTCTGTCGTAATACGAAGTAAAAAGAATTCTTGTAAACCATCAGCTTAAGAAATGTAATGTTACACTGTAGTACTCAATTTATATCTATATGCCTCTTGCTTTTTTGATTTTCTTCTGTGCTTTGAACAGTCCTAGCCCTTTCAGTGTCCTTCACATGCTCATCTCCAAATAATTTTGACTTGTCTCTGAACAGTATTCTTTTTCTACCTTAAAAATAGGATGACGCATAAAATGCACGTCTTTTGAAGAATGAGGCACAAGTAATTTTATATGAACTTTATACTAGCCATAGTTTGTTGTAGCTTTAATATCCCAAATGTTTTTTGTTTCTTGATGGCTTTTGCACATGAAGCAGAAGTTTGCATTGAGCTTTTTCAGTTGCTCCGTACTTTTACCAAAATGGTTCTGATTAGTTGAGAATCAATTTGAATGTGGGAGATGGTTTCCAATTTTTTTTTTCTTTAAATTTTATTCTAGTTCAACAGCACAGATCTAAAATCTTTTCCGAAACAGTTAATTTTGTGAGTTAACAGTCTGGTTCAACTTTTTTGTAAGTCTGTTTTAGTCTGAAGGTTTTTAAGATGTTATGTACTAATGCCAAGTTGATGGAATGCGTGTGATTCTTAATGTAATTTTTTTTTATACACGTTACTTGAAGTTCTAGTTTGAATTAATAGCAGGACGCTCATGTGAACAACTCTTTTTGAAGGTCTTTTGCTTAAAATTCTTATCTAAGTTGCATTTAATTCTATTGGTTAATAACATTCCACTGAACTATGACATGCTCCTCTATTTAAGTATTATAAAGCAGAACTTTTTGTAACCAAAACATTAGTTCTTTGAACATAAATCTTCTAGTATTTTTCTCTGTACGTTTGATACTAAATTACCAGGGTGCTATACTTAGGTTTTCTGTTTGCTTGGGAAAGCCCAGGTTGTATATATTTGATATGTAGTCTAAGGATTTTTTTTTTCTTTTCACTTTACCTATTTATATTTCCAACTAACGATTCAATGTGTAAAACAACTTTTTAGTATTTGTAGCGTTTATTTTACAACAGCTTTTTCCAGATTGAATGGATATTATTGTAGTCTGATACATTTTTAAAAATAATCTTTTTCTTCCTAGGCTGTGGACATATCTACAGCTATGAATGATCGAGCAGTGGCTCAGAAAAGGCTTAATGAGAATACATTTGATTTAGAGGCCATGTGCATGTTAAATCGTGCACAGGAACAGGTATGTTGTGCTTTTTTATCAGCATTTTGATGAAGTTAGAGTAAATTTTTCCATTCTAAGCCACCTGACTTTCTTAATTTTTTTGTGGATCTTTGGAAGCTCAGTTTATTAGCCCACATTTAAAAATTCTGCCTTTTAATTTGCACTTCACAATACTAATTTTTGGGCATACGCAACCCGAGAACCACAAACTTAAGGTTAACATGCTTTGCTTTTCTGAGCATCTGTTTACAAATGAGGGCTGATGGATATAGTACTAAGTATAAGTGAGAGATCGAATGGGTATTACTGAGAAGCAACAGAGATTTGAGAGGAAAAATGTGCAAATTTTTATTTTGGTCTTGCAATGACTTTTGTTTTGTAGATCGACGCCTGGGCTCAGTCAAACTCCATACCTGGTCAGTTCACAGGAAGTACTGGAGCACAGATATTATCCTCAGATGAATTGACCAACAGTGGTCCCCAAGCATGGATTAGAAAGGTAGAAGTTACGCAGACATATTTGTCTAAATATTTTATCTTAAATACCAGTGAAAATATTGGAAAATACAGAAAATGTGCCTTAAGCATTAATAACCTACGGCAACACGTGTCAAATGCAACAGCTTCAGTTAAATCGATGTCTTTGTTCAATTTAGATATTTGCCGCTGCTGTGTTCATTTTGTTGTGTGTTAAGGTGTTGATCATGACATTTCAAGTCTAATATCTAGAGTACTGAAATAAGATGTGCGCCTGGTATTTGAGTAAGATTGGTTCATACATACTGTTATCTTGCACTGAAATGACATTCATGATATTGGTACGGTTGCAGTGGTAGGTCCATCGCTACTTTTACAGGATCGGGACAGGTCAGGCCCGGTTTGATCCTGATGTCGTTGAAGTCAATGATCTTGTGGCATTAACTTCAATGAACCAAGTCCCAAACTGCAGTTCTGTTTGACTTGGTTCTCTCCAATTACTACTTTTCCTCTGTCTGCATCACCAGTGTTTTCTGGGAGCCAAGTATTAGTATTAAAGTATTAAAACAGGAGTTGCAGTTGGGCCGATAAGTTCAATATCATTGTGCACTGAAATAGTTACCTCTTACTGGAGAGTAATACTGGCTTTTTATTGGGGTGTGATGCGTCATACATACATGCGTTTTTTATAAGTTTAATAATTCATGCTTCATCTTTGAGAATGATTGCTGAACTGGTTCTCTTTCAAGAAGTAGAACTGAGGAATTCAAGCAATAGTCATCTTTTAGGCAAAAGAATAATGAGTTACAGTGATCGTTCTCGCACATAATGTAGTTGAGTACAGGCTGTATTTGCTTATCCTTCCAGAATCCAGTGTTAAGACAACCCTCAAAACTATCTAATCAGGTTAGATTTGAGGCTTAGATAGAATTTTCCACAAAATCTGATGTAAACTGAACAAAGTTGTCTGGCATTATGACATCCTAAAACCAGAAATATTTACCAAGATTCACTAACTTGTTTTTCCCACTTTATAGCTAAGAGCCAAGTAAGTTGCTAGATTGAAACCTTTTGGGCTTTTTCAGTATTAATAATGAGCATAGAACTTTTTTTTTTTTTTTATTATAAAGTCTGACTTTAACAATTACTAAGTTGTGAGTTTGCAACAAAATGTTGGCTTTAATGGTTACAATAATTCTCTCTGGCAAAGAAACTTAGAAACGTAAAGCACTCGGCAGGGAGATGTTTTGGTGAAAAAGGAGAACTTTTCCACCAAGAGGCTTGTGAAAGAGATCAGCAAACCCTACTCCAGGGTCTGTTTGGGGATTCTCCCTTTCTGCATACCTCACATGGTTCCCAAGATGAAGGAAAGGGAGGAATGTCCCTGTGACCATCTCTTTCCCAAGCCCCCTCTTCTCATCCAGTTTTCCTTCCTTGAGGTTCTCTGATGGTCTCCTGTGCCTTGCAGTAACAGGACCGTCTGCTAACAAAATACATTGAGTGGAGAAGGCAAGTGTGTTTTCCCTCAGTCTTTTAACTTCGCCCTTTGTTGTGATATGCTGAAAAAATACTTTATAGGGAGAAAAATGAGAGAAGAGTCTGTTGTCTGGCTTGTGGACATGACTGCCGTGAGGAGCGGAAGTGCGTTTGAGCGTTTTGGTGAATCTAGAAGTGAGAGCGAGCCAGCGGAAGCGCTTCTGTCCTTCCCATAGCTGTAAATATGTAGTGGTTTGCAGTAGTAGATGTCCTCCCTGGCCAAGTATCGTGGGGTTTTCCAGAGAGGAGGCTGCTACTGTAAACAGAAGAGTTGTTGGGTGAAGACGACGAGGACACAGTCCTCTTTCCTGCTCTGGCATTCCTCAGCTTGACTTCTTTTGCTCTTTCCAGGTTCCATATTCGCACGCACATTGCCATCAAACTCATGGGATGACAAGTAGTTACAGTCACGCACCCTCTACAAAATGCGTTAGGGACTAACTAAACGAGACTCTTCCTCTGTTTAGAAATGGTGGGGCCTGTGAAAGCCTTCACAAAACTTAGGGTTGATGAACTTAATTTGGAATCACGTCCTGTGATTAGAGGATGATTTCACAGAAAAAAGTGAAGTAAGGGTAATGGGTTATGAATGCATGTTATCTTTCTCAGCAACGTGAATACGCACCAACCATGAAATGCAAAGTACAGGTTGTATTTCTCAGGCGCTTGAAGTAGCTTAACTTTGTTCCAGTCAATTATGTGACCTAGAGCACTGAGAAATCAAACTCGTGCTCCCTTTTTCATCCTAAGAAAATAATTTATCTTGGTCTTAATACAAACTATTTTTAATTTTCATCTGTTAGTAGGACTGTGGGGTTTTGGGGGTATGTAGTATGTGTAAATTAAAGCACGCTTCTGACTAAAAATGTAGTTTACTGAAGGTGTTTGCTTAGGATATTGCCATAAGCTCTACAGAGGACTTTGGGATGTGCACTCTTTAGCAGAAACAGACTAAACGTGGACTAGGAATTTGAATATCAGTAAACGTGGACGTATACAGACCTTGGACTTGACAGAGGTATTTAAGTAACAAAATACAAGAGCAGTGGCAAGAAGGGAAAAACATTAAAGTACTTATGGAGGTTGTTTGAGTGCAGTCTTCACTTTGCATTTCCTGGATTTCGGTATTTTTATTACTTTTTACAAGTTTTCTGGAGAGGTAATATGTACTCAAACCAAAGCACACCTGCAAGTTCAACTTCATCTCAAAGTTTTGAGGGATTCAGTTATGGATATGGATTAATGTGACAGATAATAATGGATATACCAATTAGAAGTTTGTTTGTTTTTTAAAGTCATGTTCTAATTTATGATGTGTAGGGTTATGAGCAGTATTCTTAAAGAAATAATATGTTGTTAGGTTTCCGTTAAAACAGATTAATGACTAGTATTATCTTTTTCTTCTGAAAAGTGATTTCTGTTTCAGTTTATCATCCTGGGTGTAATCAGTTCACAAATACGTTTATTTGTTCTGGAGGCTTTTTTTTTCGTCCCCCCTCCCCTTTTTGTGTTACAACTATACTATGCTGCTGTAAATAAATGAGGAAGCGGTCAAGTACCTTTTTCCAAGCAAATTCTGTTGAGGTCTACTTACGCAGGCTTTTCCAGAGTCGCCACCTGTTTCCAGATTGATCAGATTAAGTACTGTAGCCCAAGCTTACTTTCCAAAACATTTTTACAACGTTTTAGATGATTCTTGAGATTTCTTTGCTTCATTTAGTTGTGCTAAAGCATGGCCGATAGTTTTTCAGTGGTTTTTACAGTACTATGTTTTGTGTGGCAAGTCCTGAAAAGGTAAATCTTCCATTCTTCCACAGTCTAGCCCTAGCAGATGAGTGAAACTCACACCAGCGATGGAGGCAGAGCTAGGTCTTGTGATGATCGCTTCCACAAGGACTGGCATGTGTCTTGTCAAGTTGATCTTCTAACAGGGCAGCCTATCGCATAGCTCATATGTGTATTGCCATACATGATATAGCGAGCTGTATTTGGAAAAGGCGGCCAGGTGGCAAGGCAAATCAACCATACGTTGGTTATATTAGACTGGCCCCCTGCTTGGTCCTCGAAAGGGATTACCTGTACCTCGGCTGTTCCTCAGCTTGCTTTCCACTGATCCAATGCAAAAGCTGTGAACAAAAATCCTGAAGCTGTTAGTGAACGTAAGGGATTTGATAGGTTTCTTCAGAAAGTTCTTCTCCCTCTTGTAGTAGGGAGAGGATGTGGCTGCTGCTGAAAGTGCTGCAGTTTAATTAATGTAAAACTCAACTGCTTTGCAAAAGTTTCACCCAAGAATGGTGCATGTTCCCGGTACTCGAAACAGAGCTTTGGAGTCAGTCTTAAAGCAGTCTTTAAAAGACAGCCCATTGAACTACAGCTGAGACTGTTCACCTGGCAGCCTTTAAGGCTTTGTTGTCTTTTGCTAAATGAAATATTGCTGAAAAGGAAGTGCCATGTCAGCCTTGTGAGAAAGAATTGGTATTTTATTTTCAAAGGGCAACAATTGATTAAAAATCTCTCAAATAATTATGGCTTTAATATTTTTGACATTGCTGGTGCTTTTTTTATAGTTAGCTTTACTCAATACCGTATGTTAGCTTTTCTGCAGAGATAGATAGCTGTTGCGATTGAATAATGATGATGGTCTCACTTTCAGCAGAAAGCTGTAAAATCCTCTTTCAAGTGCCTTTGTTATTGTTTAAGCCCTTAAATGCCAATCCAGGCATTGTAGGTTTCTTGTGATATTGATGCTGGCTTTTTTTTTTTTTCTTTTCAAATTTGTTTCACTTCTTAAAGAGGAATAGTTTTACTTTAAAATACTAAAAAACCTCTTAAGTGATCAGCTTTTAGTATGTTGCCCTCTTCTTCAAGAGGAACTGTTGACCCAAGAATGTGGTTTATTAGCTGTTGCCACCTGCTGGCAGAATGAAAGTGTGCTTTATTTGGCTTATCTTTCATGGAATTTAAGAGATCAGAAGATGAGAAAAATGACATTACGTTTTCATGCTGACTTACTCAAATTGGGATTAGAGAATGAAAGATAACAGTTATTTTCTCAATAGTTAACTCACTCAGATAAGAGTAACCAAATACTGAGAAACCTTGGGTTTACTGTGTTACATACAAGTCAGTCTGCTATCTTCCTTATGGGCCAGATCTGCAAGGGTACTTATGCTGTTAAATACCTTTGTGGGACTCAGCCTTTTATGATTTCTAAAAACTGAAAAGAAATGTATATCTTGTTTCTGTGTTCTTATTAGTATTTTTAATATTTTTATGCTTTGATATTTCATTATAAACACGAGACTAATTTTTACCTGTACCCCCTTAGATCATGGGTAAGTAAATTTTACTATCATTCAAATGAGGGGGGGAAAAAAAAAGGCAAAGGGAATATAATTGTACTGGTGGCATTAGAGATTCCTATTTGTCTTCCTCTCAATAACAAGTTAAAGCCTTTTTTGCTTTATTAGTAACCTGAATCAAAGTAGACTTCTCTAGACTCCTTTCATATTGCTACCAGAATTACTTTGTCTGGTCTTTAGTGCGACGCACAAGTACAGCTGATAGTTCTGTGATGAAACAAAAGTAATTCCATTCTAATTCCTTTTTGTCTCAGTTCTGTTGTGCGTGTCTAAGAGTGAGTGTAGTCTGGGGGAAAAAAAACCAAACTAAAGTTATCAGATAGGATTTTGAGTTCACACATGAAACCACGATTATTATTATTATTATTATTTTTAACAAACGCACTTCAGAATTTAGGACTTGTTGCATTTCCTAGATTTGGAAGTTGTTCAGGCTCTTACAATTCCTTTATAGGAATTCAGTGCTTTAGTTTTAAACTATGAATAGCAGTATTTTGATTCTATTCCCCTTCTTCTTTCTATACCACCTCTGACCGCCAAAGTTAGTATATTTGCAAGTGTAGTGAGAAAGCTGTGTAATATTAAAGTGACCTCATCAAGAAGTTGCACTGTATTTCATTTGTGAACTGAATGCACGCTGGTGATAATGAAACAGATGTTGATATTGAAAATTCTATCATTGCAAAGCAGGTACAAAAGAGGAATCGGAACCCAGGGTGACATTGACTGGGGTTTGTATCATTCTCGGCATGGTTGCCCTATTCTTATGAGAGGTTCCTGGAAAAGAGAGGGGAGGATGAAAATGGAAGTAAGTAAAAGCCATTCTAGGTGTATAGATTGAGGCAGTTCGTATCAAACAAACTGATTGTCTCTGTGTACACACAAACTGCATGGTCTGCACCAGTCAAAAAACCAAAAAAACAAAAAAAACCTGAACTGGAGAGGTGGGCTTAGCCTCTCTACTCTTCCGTCAGAGCACCTTGTTGTTAAATGCAGCATCCAGTTGCATGATGGATAGGTACGTTATTGCTTAATAGGTAAATATTTGGAGAAGTCTTACCACAATCTCTAGGACTTTTTTTTTTTTTTTTCATTTAACACCATGAATACTGGGGATTACACACACACATGGTTAGTGTGTGTCAGTTACTGATGCTGAAAAGTTAATCCCCTTAAAAAATTTGTTATCTGCAGTTTCTGCAAAAGTAAGACTTCTAGTTTTGTTTACGTACGAATCCAAACCAAGGAGTTATCAGTCTTTTTCCAATTCTTGGAAATGCTTACTTTTGCAAGCACAACTCAAAATAAAGGGGAAAAAAAAGTGTTCTATTAATTTATTTTGCTAGTAAGTAAATTTCTACAAAATATTAGGCATTGTGTCATCTGATCTACTTGTGCAAAATAACTGACGGACTTACCAGTGCCAGTGTGTAAACTTGTATATTTTAAGACGAGCAATTTTTTGCTGTGATGGAAATGATTGACTTACTTACTTGGGTCAGTGGGTGGGGCAGAAGAGAGATGATAGTTCACAGAATAACCTGTGAACTTTCACCCCTCTATATGGAAACTTGTTTCAGGGTCAAATCCTTGTAGCTGCCTTCTTGCCACGGTCAATGCCAGCCCTACTATTCACAACACTGCGGCCATCGAGGCCTAGGTACGTAAACATTTAAGGAGTTTTTAAAGTTCTTTACATCAAAACAGATTTTTAAAATTTCTGTTTATAAGCTTTCAGCATTTAACAACTATTATGTTAATGATGATTTGAAACAATGTGACGACTACTGCTGCTAAACTGTGTGGCTAAGCGCCTTTTTTCCTTAAAAAAAGAAAAGAAAAACCTGTATCTGTTTCATGTGGATTTTCAGAGTAAAACTTGAATGTGCAACTGCTGTATAATAAAACGGGGAACTTTTTTTTTTTATATTTAAAATACGCATAAACACTATTTGAATGTCATTACTAAATGTGCTTGTATTTTGTTCAATAACTAGGTACACTTGGCACAAATGTTGCCAGTTAAACAGTTAACACTGCCTCCTTTCACAAGATGAGAAGAGAGACATTGGAACCAAAGTAGTGTGTTTAAGAATAAACGGTTATCATTTTATTAAATACGTACGTCTGAAATGGGTCACTTGCCACTTTTGAATTAAAGGATTGCATTAACATTTTAAGTTGTTCTTTTTTGAAACTATTGATTTGTGTCTCGTGTGTCTGCGTGAATTCTGGTTTATACAAGATGTTAATGTATATAAAGCTAAGGTGTATTCGTTTGAATTGAATCTGTGAAGCATTGTTAGAAACATTTTTGGAAGCTCCGACTTATTTTTTTAAGTCCCAGTGCTAACTTTAGGACTTGTTTTACTTTTTTTTTTCTGGATAGGATCAGTTCTTAAGAGCAGCCCCTGTAACTGGAGGAATGGGAGCTCAACTGATGAGAAAAATGGGCTGGAGAGAAGGAGAAGGGCTGGGAAAAAACAAAGAAGGCAGCGTTGAACCTATTATGGTTGATTTTAAGACGGATCGAAAAGGTAAGCCCTCATGTAAATGTTTTATGGCTGTATAAACACACTTGTGTCTTTTTTTGAAGCTAGAAAAAGCTTACTACTTGGAAGTTATTTTGTGTAGATACAATTTCATCATAAAAAAAACAGAATGATATAAATGGTTTTGATATTGTTTTTTCAAGGCCTGGATGATTTATATGTGCACTTGTCCTTAATGCCTGCGAACTCTTCCAGAAGTTCTTAAACTTTTCCTACTTTTCTCCTTCCACCTCAAAAAGTGCTTTTCAGTGGTTCTTAAGTGAGGGATATGCTTCAGTTCACTGTACGGAGAAAGGACGGACAGGGAGATTAATTGTGGAACCATCCATTCTAGAGATAGTGTCACCTTAGAGAAGGTGTCTGAAGCAGG